TTTCACTACTATTACTTCTATTCTATCGATTGAGCACAAGAAATCGCCCAGTAAACTGTTTCAACAACAAAATAAAGTGACCGGAAATTGGTAATTTGGCCAATTTAGTGCAAAGTTCAGAATATTCCAATTTCAAAATAGTGTCCAGAATAAACAATGCAGACATTCCTGGCACTAAACTAACATTTCCTCTGTTCATTAGTTATGTTTTGAGGCTTTATAAATGAATTCCATTTTGATTTTTTATTCTCATGATGAATTTTTATTCAAACCAAAAAATAGAAGATTAACTGCTATGCAGTATTGTAATAATTGTATAAATATCATCACCACATTTGTGAATGTATGTTAGACCCACCAGCTGGCGTGTATTAGACGTGTGAGGTCGTTTTTGTTTACTCTTGAACATCGGCAAAAATTTAACATTTCTGCTACTTTGAACTCAGTTTCAAGCCATTTCCTTTGCTAAAACCAATCAAAATCATCTCTATTTCTGTAATATATCTTCCATTCTATCAATTGAGACCAAGAAATCGCAAATACAACTATAAAAAACATACAAAAAAACACTTCAAATTCGCTGTTTTAATCGAAAATCACGGTCTCAGTTTTTTTTCTCTCATTATACACTGTGTGCTGCAGGATTTGTTTTATGTGGTGCACACATACCACATAGATGTATTCTCTCATATCTAGGCCCAAATTTACCACTCACAGCTTATCAGAGTGAGCTGAGCTTGTGGTGTAGATCTACGGTTTAGACCCTCAACGTAAAGCCATAGATCTATGGCACAGACCCTGAAAGGGTTAATATTGCACATGGAAAGTTCCTGGTTATGCAGAGAGTTTTGGGCAAGGAAAAACCTATCGTAAGACTAATAAGGCATGATTGAACATTAGCCTTTGACATGTATGTATACAGTGATACTTAACTCTTACACTGTGTCCAACTTACTAGTGTGCAAATACTGTCTGTGTCTGACATACTAGTACACAAGTGCTGTCTGTTTGTCCAACTTACTAGTATGCAAATACTGTCTGTGTCTTATGTATTAGTAAACAAGTGCTGTCTGTGTCTATCATACTAGTGTGCAAGTGCTGTCTGTGTCTGACGTGCTAGTATGATAGTGCTGTCTGTGTGTCCAATGTACTAGCACAGACAATTTTTTGTACCTTTGTACCATGACAAATGAGATGTCACACTGTTGTCATCAGTTCACCCTAATGAAATGGCAGACACTGGCAGGCAGCATAGAGAAAGCAATGAACCCATTCTAAAACCTGCAGCTGTGATGGACTACACCCTCAATATGCATTCAGTGGACAAATGTGACATGCAGATTGGGTTTGCTGATTGTGTTCGTAAGAGTTATAAGTGGTACATAAAACTCTTTTTCCATCTTCTGGACATTTCCATGCTGAATGCTTATAATATGTATAAGATGAGGACCAGAAACAAACCACAATATGGCAAATTCTGTTTGTCTGTCATCAGACAAATAGTATTCAAGTACCAAGGAACAGCACCTGCAATAGACCGCCCACCAAATTTTCAACAACTTCCTTCTCGTTTGAAGCATGGTGATCACTTCCTGGTAAAACTGCCTGCTACTGCTTTCAAGAAGAAGGTTCAAAAGAGGTGTTACGTCTGTGCACATACAAGAAAACGCCCACAACAATGCAGAGACACTTGTTTTATGTGTGAAGAATGTAAAACACCACTGTGTATGACACCATGTTTCAAAGACTTCCACAGGCTGCAGAACTTCTAGAAACATTCCCTGTGACTGTATATGTGTATATAAAATATAGAAAAATAGTAATAAACAACATTTCATATCATTTGTTTGTGCAAATATTTTTTGTAAACAAAACAATGACAACAGTGTTTATGCCCTTATTGTGTTTATCTGGAGAGAGTTCCGGGGGTCAACGCCCCCGCGGCCCGGTCTGTGACCAGGCCTCCTTAGGTCAGTGTCCCAGGATGCGACCCACACCAGTCGACTAACACCCAGGTACCCATTTTACTGATGGGGAACATAGACAACAGGTGGAAAGAAACACGTCCAATGTTTCTACTCAGGCTGGGAATCGAACCCAGGCCCTCACCGTGTGAAACGAGAGCGTTAACCACCAGGCCACCAGATCATACTGGTCTCACAGGCCATAAAAGTTACTTGGAAAAATAAAAAATAAAAAATAATAGAAATTAGTCGGCGATGTTGCCACATGGTGCCTCTTTTTCATCAACTTCACGCCTCCATATCTCAGTAAGTCTTGATGGTAAAAAATTTTTGCTTAGCCTATAATGTTCAGTAAAATAAACTCTATTTTTTCATAAGAATTTTTTTTTTTTTTTTTTTTTTTTTTTTTTTTTTTTTTTTTGAAATTTGGCTGACCCTGAGAACAAGTCTCTGACAGGGCCTGTCAACCCTGAAAGGGTTATTGGATTGACTGGCTTACTGGATTGACTTGACTTACTGGACTGACTGACTGACTTACTGGACTGACTGACTTACTGGACTTACTGACTTGACTTATTGACTTGACTGATTTACTGACTGGTTTGACTTACTGACTTGACTTTACTGACTTTAAGTTAGACTTTTTCACTGAAAAGAACCCTGACAAATCTAGAAGCAGTGCTCTAGAGCAGCTGATACCTTATTATCAGCTGTATAATGTACTGCAGGGTAAAATAGCATAGAAATCCATAACAGAATTTATGCACACTCAGTACAACCATCGACTTTAGTACCAGAACCTCTACCATCCACCTCAGCGCAGTAGGGCCACAGCATAACTCTCCACTCTTCACAATCATTGACAAACAACAGCACCTAAAATTGAAGGTGAGAAATAATAGTATTTCTGTTGCATTTGTTGTCTTAAGCTGGAAAAAACACAATATACATCACGACAATGAACAACAATTATTATGTTTACTTCTATTTTTATGAGATCTGGAGGTACAAAAGCAAGTTGTTTGGCTTTTTTGGGGCTCCTAGGCTCTATTTTTCCCATAAGCTTTTCAGGTTATCTAACATGGATTTACCTAACACAGCATTTTCAGGAACATAACTACCATGTAATATAACGATCTACTGTATATACATACTTGAGACAACTGCCTGGGGTCTCAGGAAGATAAGACACATATGGATGTGTGAAATATCATCATCATCACTGTTGTCATTATCATCATTACTCCATTTTCTCACTTATGCAGGATACCTTACCTAGGCTTACTGCATTCTGATGCTGGCTCTGCTTTACCAGATACATCATTTAAGTGTTACATCTTTAGTGTCTAAACAGATCGTCCTTGGTACTATTCAGGTTTCTGTGTCAAGTTTATACCCACCTAGACTTTTCCTTCCTTAACCCTTTGACTGTCGCAACCCCCAATCCTGACGTGTCTCCTGGTGTCGCAAAATTTAAAAAAAAAAAATTATTTTTTCTTATGAAATGATAGAGAATCTTCCCGATTGTAATGACACCAGAAAAACGAAATTTGATGGAAAACTGACAGAATTATGCTCTCTCGAAGTTAGCGACCTCGGCGCTGTTTACAAATGGGCGATTTCGCCCACTTTGAGCCCTATTTTCGGCTAATTTCATTGTTCCAGTCACCCAAACTCATAGCTATTTCTTTAGAACTCCATTTTTTCTATCGATTGAGTACAAGAAACTGCCCATTTACCGATTTCAACTACCTAATAATGTGGTCAGAAATTTGCAATTTGGCCAATTTCACAAAAACTAAAAAATATGACAATTTCAAAATAAGGTCCAGAATGAACAATGCAGACATTCCTGGCTCTAAAATAACATTTTCTTTGCTCATCAGTCATGTCTCCAGGCCCCTCTGATATTACTCTTGCTTTCTATTTTGAATTTTTATTCGAACAAAAAATAGAAGACTTACTATTATGCAGACTACTGCAATACTGTAATAATTGTATAAATAACATCAACCCATTCATGACTGCATATTAGAATGGCTAGTTGGACATTTCTTGGAAAATGGCATCATTTGTTTACTTTTGAACATTGGCAAAAATCAAACATTTCCCCTACTTTGAGCTCCATTTCTAGGTTCTTTTTATAGTAAAATCAATCAAAATCACCTCTATTTCTATAATATGTTTTCCATTCTATCAAATGAGACCAAGAAAACGAGAATACAACCATAAATTCTATACGAAAATAGACCACAAAGTCGGCATTTTAATTAAAAAATCAGAGTTTTTTTTTCTCCTTATGCACAGCATGCTCCAGGATTTTTTTATATGGTGCACACTGACCACACAGACCCATTCTGTCACATGTGGGCCTACCAGCTTTCTCCTGCTTGATTTGAAGCCGCTAGAATTTATGAGTATATATACGTCAAACACGGTACCTCGTAAGACGTATATATACGGCCGCGACAGTCAAAGGGTTAAACAACTGCTGACTCCATTTTGGGTGCTGGTGAATAATTCTGAAGTTTGCCCTCCATGGTACCATAGCAAAAAACTGCTTTCAAGTATGAAAACAACTATATAGAAGGGACCATGGGTTTGTGTGTATTGTGCAGGTCACAGTAGACTCCTGTATATTATAGCATTCTGATAATGGCCGACGTGTGGTCAACTAGGCTCACTAGTGTTCCATAGTATACTGGGGCTATCATTAGTGATTAATAGGTAGCAAATGAGGACATATTCCAAAAATTGGATTCCTTTGTCCCTCCTACAAAGACTTTTTGTCATACTTCAAAATGTAATTTCACTGTACCCTCATTATTGTTATCCTATATAGTACTGTATTGTCCTTCCTTTTCCAGTGGGTCTTCCTATCCTGTAAAAATGACTGATGTAAATAATGGCATTTCATTTGAAGCTTTTCTATACTGAAAGCACATTGTTATTGTTACAGTAGTGAGGTTCCATGTTTGATTTAGTATTGTATGTTGTTATTGCTTTGTAAAGAAAATTGATGGATTTAATTTGCAGAGACAATTGAAATACAAAGTGGCTACAAGCTTTGATAGCAAGGAGCATGCAGAGCGGCGAAGACCAGAAGGGTTATCCGATTCTGAGGTGAGAGAGAAGGAGCCCGTTATTGAGGAGGAAGTAACAACTGTGCAGGCAGACAACTTTGTTGGCAGAGAAGTGGGCGATATTGGTAAGCTGATGATTGTTCTCTGTTGTGTATACAGTAGGGCCCCACTTTCTGGCATTTCGCTTTACGGCGTTCCGCTAAGATGGACATTTCAAATTATGACCGAAACTTGCTATACGGCTCTCCCACCTGACTTTCTAATGCGGTCATCGCGCCCCACCCAGTTTGTTTATATTCTCCACGAGCTCTATGTCTCCCTATTATGTCTGGAAATTTTCCAAAATTTCAAGTGTTTTAAAGTTATTTCATATTTTATATATTTGATAATTATACTTACGTGTACCTGTACCTAAGTAAACTTACATACTGTGCTGGCATGCAGGTACACGTTAACCCATTAACTGTCCAAATGTAGATCTACGTTCTTACTGCTAGCGCTTCAAACGTAGATCACCGTTTTATTTTTCCTGCCTCCAAATTTGGGACGATTGGCCTTAGATGCCTGGTCAGTATAGAATGGGTCTTAACAATTGGTGTGTGCAGTATTAAAAAGACCTGGGACTACTTAGTACCTTGTGGGAGCACCAGTTCAATTGAGCACCAACTAGAGCAAAGAGCATGGCAAACAGTAGGGATTCTCTGGTGTCATGTCTTATTAACACTCCCCTTTTAAGAGGAAAGTGATGTTGACTCCGAGTTTAGTGGCTTTGAGATGGATGTGGCCACAGGTGGTCGAGGGAATATCAAAAACCTCAATAATAACCCATGTGCAACATTTGTGCAACATGCTTTCATTTCTGATACCACTGGTAGTGTCATCCTGCCAGAATATCCTATAACCTAGGCCCTAAGTAAAGAGAATAATTCTGGAACATGTGTAATGTGTGTTGGGCAGGACAGCTAACTGGCTGGCTGGGTGGGTGACTGACTGACTTTGGCCGTCTCTATCTCCTCTGTCAGTCTGTTTCTATCTCTGCCTGTCTCTGTCTATCTCTGTCTCAGAGGTACACACAAATAATTATTATAGTGTAAATTACCTAGGATAACCCAAAAAATCTGGACAAAGTGCTGTACAGTGCTTGTAGATATAAGGCATAATAAGCATGACTGGCAAGTAATTTGCATTTTCACTTATTCAGGAATCAGACGTGATGACTCTGCATCATGTGTAATACCTGTTAGTTCAGGAGTGGCTCTCTGAGACAAAGAGAGACAGGCAGACAGGAAGACAGACACACAGGCAGACAGATAAACAGATACAGAGCTAGACAGATAGACAAATAGACAGATACAGACAAATACAGACGGATCTATGTTTGGACAGTTAACCCCTTTAGGGTTGGTGCCGTATTAGTACGCATAAATTCTAGTGCCTTCAAATCTAGCTAGAGAAAGCTGGCAAGCCTACATATGAAAGAGTGGGTCTATGTGGTCAGTGTGCACAGTATAAAAAAAATCCTGTAGCACACAGTGCATAACGAGAAAAAAAAACTCCAGCCGTGTTTTTGCTTTAAAACAGTGATTTTGCAGTGTATTTTTGTATGCTATTTATGGTTACATTCTAGTTTTCCTGGTCTCATTTTATAGAATGGAAGACATATTACGGAAATTGAGATGATTTTGATTGGTTTCACAATGAAAAGTACCTTGAAATTGACCTCAAAGTAGCAGAAATGTTCAATTTTTGCCAAAGTTCAGAAGTAAACAAATCATGCCATGCATCCAATACACGTCAACTGGTGAGTCTAATATTCTTTCACAAGTGTGCAGATATTATTTATACCATTTCTACAGTAATGCAGTAGTCTGCATAACAGTAAATCTTCTTTTTTTTTTTTTTTTTTTTTTTGTGTGAAAATAAAAATTGAAAGTAGAAAGCAAAAGAAATGTAAGAGAGGCCTGAGGATGTGACTGATGAACAGAAAAAAAATTATTTTAGTGCCAGGAATGTCTGTCTGGTTTATTCTGGACTCTATTTGGAAATTAGCATCTTTTGAAATTTGTGTGAAATTGGCAAAATTGCCAATTTCTGACCACTTTATTGGATAGTTGAAATTGGTAAATGAGTGGTTTCTTGTACTCATTCGATGGAAAAAATGGAGTTCTAGTGAAATAGGGCTCAAAGTGGGCAAAATCGACAATGTTTAACATTGTCAAGACCGCTAACTTCATGAGAGCATAATTCCGTAAGTTTTCCATCAAATTTCATACTTTTGGTGTCATTATGATTGGGAAAAGATTCTCTATCATTTCATAAGGAAAATAATTTTTTTTCTTTTTGAAAAATTTCCAACCCTGAGAACAAGTTTAGGAGAGGGCGTGCTGACCCTGAAAAGGTTAAGGAGTTAAAATAAGTAAGAGTGTCTTATGTCTCAAGATGGCATATTACAGTGGACCCTCAGTTATCAGCCGTAATCCGTTCCAGAAGCTCTACCTAAAACCGAAATGGCCGAAATCCAAAATAATATTTCCCATAAGAATTAATGTAAATACAATTAATCCATTCGAGGCAAAAATATTAAAAAAAAAAAATTAACAATTAAATCAGTATTACATACCTTTAGTGAAGACTAATGCTGGCTTCTAGAATGCCTGCTACACTTCTTGCATGCCTGCTACACTCCCTGCATGCCTGCTACACTCCCTGCATGCCTGCTACACTTCCTGCATGTCTGCTACACTCCCTGCATGCCTGCTACATGCCTTCTACACTCCCTGCATGCCTGCTACACTCTCTGCATACCTGCTACACTCTCTGCATACCTGCTACACTCCCTGCATGCCTGCTACACTCTCTGCATACCTGCTACACTCCCTGCATGCCTGCTACACTCTCTGCATACCTGCTACACTCCCTGCATGCCTGTTACACTCCCTGCATACCTGCCATACTCCCTGCATGTCTGCTACACTCCCTGCATGTCTGCTACACTCCCTGCATGCCTGCTATGCTCCCTGCATGTCTGCTACACTCCCTGCATGTCTGCTATACTCCCTGCATGCCTGCTATACTCCCTGCATGCCTGCTACACTTCCTGCATGCCTGCTACACTTCCTGCATGCCTGCTACACTTCCTGCATGCCTGCTACACTCCCTGCATGCCTGCTACACTTCCTGCATGCCTGCTACACTCCTTGAATCTGTGCCTGCCTACCTTGAGTTCTATCATGTTTCTCACTTTCTTTACCAAAGTAACTTTAATAAGAACTTTCTTTGATTCCATGGTGACTTATTTTGCAGTTGCACTTGATAAATAACGACCAAAAACAACGGATTATAGCGAAATGTTTAGATGAAAAATCAGAAGCTTCCTCACTCACCCAGAGACACAGCCAGACTGACATGAGCGGCTGCCGGCTGGTGGGTGTACGTGTCCCATACGGCTGATAAGCAAAATAACAGCCAATAACCAGAAGCCAAAAAAATGGCTTATAACTGAGTTGGCCGATAACTGAGGGTCCATGTAATAATGATAATAGTAACTGAGGCACATTAAATGTCATATATTACATTAATACATATACACATCTTCATTAATCCATCTGTGATATTTTTTCAGTAGACCGTCATTTAGCACGAGTTTATTTGGCACGATTTGGGTATAGCATGATTGAAGAATTGCAGCACAATTTTATGTAGCATGTTGTAATATTAATTTAACAAGGTTCAATTTGTGGGAAGGAAAAAAATTCCCTTTTTCTCAAGTAGCTGCCTTGTTGTGGATCAGCGGGAGAGACCACCTGCCATCCCCAGCCACCCCCTGACACCACCCCACCATCCCAGCATTCGTACTTGATACCAAGTACATGTCCAGTCCAACTTCTCTACTACAAGCTCGTGATTGTGAATTGTGTTTTGATCTTTTAATTACTACAGTGGACCCTCAGTTTTCGTGTTTAATCCATTCTTGAGCCATCAGCCAAAACTGAAACCGGCCAAGACCGAAACCATTTTCCCCATAAGAAATAATTTAAATGGTATTAATCTTACCTTTATTGAAGGCTGTTGTTGCTGGAAGGAAGACAGGAATAAGGGGAGAGGGAAAAGAGGTTATTGTTTGGAAGGGGAATCCCCCTCTATAAGGACTCTAGGTACCAAGTCCTTATTTATTTTATTTATTTATTTATTAATTTGAACATGATACAGAGAAGTACAAGGAATACAATTTTTAAAGTGCAGCATGCCAAAGCCCCTTGTATGCAGAGCATTATGGGCAGGCTTAAAATTAACTTAGGATTAACTTAGCAATGATATATTCAGTGGTACAAAAATTATTGTAAAACAGATAACAATTTAGTACAAATGAGTATTACAAAGACAGGTCATATGGTCATTTACTGTGTTGCTGTGTAATCAGTAGAATGGAGTATTCTATTAGGTAATGAAGTTAAATAGTAACAAAGTTTGATTGGGTCACAGGTTGACATTTATGAGATAATAATGAGATACATATATGAGATACAATTTATGAGATACAATTATTCAGTATTTATTTAGTTGTGGGTGAGTAAGTGATTTTTTGAGAAGAGACTTGAATTTATAAATAGACAGTGTTTCTTTTATATTCACAGGTAATGAATTTCAGATTTTAGGGCCTTTTATGTGCATTGAGTTTTTGCATAGCGTGAGATGGACACGAGGAACATCAAAGAGTGATCTGTGCCTTGTGTTATGGTCATGTGTTCTGTTGAGGTTGGTAAGGAGATGTTTGAGGGGAGGGTTTATGTCAGAGTTAAGTGTTCTATGTATGTAGTAGGTGCAGTAATAAGTATGAATGTTTTGTATTGTGAGTAGGTTTAGAGTTTTGAATATTGGTGGAGTGTGCTGTCTGTAGTAGGAATTTGTCATCATTCTGACTGCAGTCTTTTGTTGGGTGATTAGTGGTCTGAGATGGTTTATTGTTGTTGAGCCCCATGCACAAATTCCATAGTCTATTATCAAGGTGGATTCCTAAGAATTTTCCCTCTGTGAGTTTTGTGATTGGTGATCCATTTATCATTATGTTAAGAGACACATCTGTAGCTCTGTTACCAAACTGAATGTAGTAGGTTTTGTCAATGTT